CCTATGACATCTGTTTATCTTTATACCATTCCACAAACTCGTCCAGCAAAATGGGCTACACTCCATCTTCATCATAGTTGCTAAGGTCAAGATTAATTGTCCTGCTGAACTCTAGCACTTTGCACCACTTGTCTTTGTTAATAAATTTGTATTTTGATTGCTCTAAAAATTGGTGAAAAACTGGAGAAAGGGACCAGATTTATCCTAATAACAGTCCCAACATGCACTTGGTAGTGTTTATGTCTAGGCTGTGCTGGTCCTGTTCCCATGCAAAATCAAACTCGTATCTGTAAATAAGTTTAAAGTTTGTAGAATCATTTAATAATGATCTTAAGCATTCCAAAGTAGTTTTTAGTTTCTCTCTTATATCACATTTTAGAGAAATCATTCTTTTTAACCATTCTTGTGGTGTAAAATAACCCATGTTTTGTGCATCCAGCTTCCAGACTAGGACAAGCATAACTACATTTTCTGGTTCAACACCAATCTTCATATTTCTCCATGCCTTCAGGCCCTACAACATCATCAGTACGTGTATATTCATAGAACCATTCTAAGCATTGCTTGCTTGAAAAGGCTTCTTCTTCTTCTTCAGTCTTTATTCTAGTTGAATCATATTTTCTAAACATGCTATCATTCCTACTCTTCTTGGGAGATAAGTCATCCCCAGATGCAGGTCTTTGCTACTTCCTCGGTGGCATCACTTTACTGACGCAATTTGAAGAACTGCAAGACCACAGACTTCCTGTTTGGTGATTGTCTTGGCCAATGTCTTCTGTAAGATTTAGCTTATTAAGGGGGTAGATTTTGTGAATATTAGCCAGTTCAGTTGAAAGTAAAGAGCAAGAATGTAAAGCAAGTTGCTCGATCTTCCAAAAACCACAGAAGTCAAGAAAACTCTGTCTTCTGCAGACTGGAGAGCTGGAGCCGACCGTAGAGTTACTTGCAGTATCAGAGCACACCGCAAAACCAGAACACAGTGGCAGGAGCTGCTCACCTTTCTCCCGGAGCCTCCTGTACCACTTAGCCCCTGGAAGATCCTCACCCCGTTGTCCCTGCACCATGCTCCTGCTCTGCCTACCTCTTGCTGCCTGGTGCCACCGCCTGGCCCAGCTCTTGAGCACCCGCCATGGGTTCCACAACCTCTATTCACGCCAGATTCTCAGGTCCTGGCCGAAAATGAGTATTTTCCCAGTCTGTAGTCCCCTTCCTGTATGATTAAGGAGCTTTGGTGGCCCAGTGAATTAAACATTGGGCTGCTAATGGAAAACCATCAAACCTCACTGATGTTGAGTTGAAACTGACTCATAGCTGACCCTCGAGTAGGTTTTCAGAGGCTGTAAACCACATGGGAGGAGACTGTCCATCGTTCTCCTGTGGAGCAGCTGGTGGATTTGAACATTTTTGGATTGGCACTCCAACCCCACTAACAAAACGTCATCTGTTTGAATCCACCAGCTGCTGTGTGGGAGAAATACGTAGCTGGCTCTTTCCACAAAGAACTACAGCCTTGGAAAACCTGTAAGGGAGTTTTACTCTGCAGGGGAAAGATGGACAATCTCATCCCAAATGATCTATACTATCAGAAAACCACTGGAGCGTTAGCTGTAACTCAAAGGCAAAGAGTTTTACTCTTGAGTTAGAAGCTGTGATTGAGTTGGAATCAACCTGACCACAGTGTGTTTCTTGACCTTTGTTATTATTTTTCATTACATTTAAGTTATACCTTTTTTTTTCCTAAGTTATACCTTTTAAGCTACCTGTTTGTTTGTAATTATGGTTTTCTTGCTTAACCCTGAAAAAGCTATCATCATTTTTGCATCTGAAAATAGTCATTTCACATTTCTATTTCTTTAAGTTAAAAATTATTAGCTCTTTAATACATTTGGAGTATATTTTCACTTTATCATAAAGTAGGCATTTTTTAATATTCTTTTCAATATATATTTAATAAATAACTTCTGGTTTTAAACTGTAATCTGTCATAATGAATTTTTTCTCTTTATGAGAACTATTTTTTAATATTCTAAGTTCTTTTTAGACATTTAATTCTCTGTACTAACAACACTTTATTTTTTAATATTCTTCTAATATCTGCTCACATTATACTTTCTCCCACAAGGTATTATTTTCCACTTGCAAAAATAATCTGTTGGGGTTTTGCTTTAGAAAGTGATTTATGTTAATATTAATCTTAAAATAATAACGATTTAATATAATATTTGTTCTCTCAAGAAACACGATGCAGTTTATATAAAATATATGCTCATTTGTCTTCTTTAACCTATGAAAGAGGCCTTAACCCTTTGATTTATATTACTAATAGTTACTTATTGTATTAGTATTATCAATGAGTATTACTGATACTGTCAATGGTCTTCATGAATCGTCTTCCTTTTTATTTTATTTTTTTTTCTGAAACACATTGTTTATTTTCCGTCGACTTTATTCCCACTTTTTAAAAGGCAGTTTAAGACCATTCCATGGTGGTGCCCACCCACTCAGTGGCTTGAGCAGTGGGGGCTGCAGACCAGTCTTCAGTTGCAGGCTGAGCGCTCCAGGCTTCAGTAGGGAACTGCTGAATCAGCACAGAAGGCACCGGGACGCCTTTGGACTAGTCTGTAACTTCAGGCTGAGCAGCAGTGAATTCAGGAGCAGGGGCCGTCCATTCTCCCTGAAACTCTTCCTTGGTCACAGTCTCTTCAGCAGCAGCCTGTTCTTCCTTTTCAATCTCTTCCGGATCTCTGTACAGATCGGGCATGACCTCCCAACAGGTGCTCCCGGGAGATTGTGCCACACATGCGCAGGACTTCCCGGGTCAGCATCCACCACATCAGACCCACAGAGTGAACTACCTTATTGTTGTACGGGATAGCAATGTCTACATAACGCAGAGGAGAATCTGTGTTACACAGGGCAATGGTGGGCAAGTTAACGTAAGATGCTTTTGTCAGAGGCTGGTGGTCAGACCTGGGATCAGTAACCACCAGAAGATGAGGCTCCCCGAAGGCTGCCTGGATCTGGTTAGTGAAGGTTCCAGGAGTGAAGTGCCCAGCAATAGGAGTGGCCTCAGTAGCAGCAGCAAACTTCAGAACAGCTCTCTGGACTGTATTTCTGGAGGAAATGACACTGACATCGGCTGAATTTTCAATGGCAACAATGGCGCGAGCAGCCAAGAGCAGCTTCTTCCAGGTCCTCTTCAGGGTTATGATGTAGATGCCATCACTTTTCCTTTTGTAGATATACTGTTCCATTTGGAAGTCAAGGCTGGTGCTGCCCAAATACGTTCCTGCTGCAAGGAATTTGAGGACATCCTCCTCCTTCATCTGCAGGACATCAAGGGCTCCGGACACTGTGGAAGTTTCCCTTTTAAGTTACGACGGGAACCAGAACAACGCCATATGGACTCTTGTGCGGGTAGCTCGGAACATGAATGGTCTTGTGAGAAGACACAGAAAAGACTTTCCCATCTTCTTTCAAAATTCTATAAATCATAACCAACTCTAGAAAGACACTTCCTTAGTATTCTAACATGTCAAAAGGAGACAGAAGGAAATGTTAAAAAAAAAGACCAGAAGAAAGTCTATTCATGCATACATCCATAAGCAACAAATATTTAACTCCAAATTTAATATATAGAAAAGTAATGTAATTCTTTTAGTTCTAGAACTCTGGAAACTAGTTTTCAAATTTTATAATCTCAATGTTATGATTTCCACCCCCAAGAAGCAATAAAATTAGTTAGAATAAAATATGATAGGTTGGTTGTCAGGAACCTTGAAAATTGGCTTTTCTAGGTGTTACATTAGCCCCTGTTCGGGGGGCATGGTTTCCAGGTACCTTAACTGTGCACACGTGGTCTTGTAAATCATCATCAGCTGTGGGACCAATACAAGAGAGTGTTTTCCACACTGTGAGAAAAGGCAAGTGATGGTGGTGGTGAGAGGGTGAAGAGACTTTTGTGGTATTGCTGTGAAGAGAATGTGGCAAGGTGTACCAGAAGAAAGCTGGAAATAAAGACCACAGTTAAATGTTTTGCTTCCTGGATGACTGAATTAAAAGCTGACTTGTAACTGCTCTGAGATGAAGTCTGCTGGACGACTGAGGATATTAGAGGCTTCTTGCTTTTGTGCTTCTGAACTGAACCTGGACTGTTAGTGTCTTGTTAACCTGGCCTGGGACTAAACTTGGACTTGCACTGTATGATATTCTTTGCCTTCCCCACTCTCCAAAATATTTTTCTAATAAACCTCACAATTGAGAGTAAAGCCTGTGAGCCAAATTACAATAAACATCAGACCCAATGACTGGAACAAATAGGTGCAGGAGCATGGGAGGTGGCATGTCTGGCTGTGTAGCTATTTGCATGGTGCTATGGATATTATTGATGTGGAACAGTTCCCCTTTATGACGGAGGCAGAAGTCAGACTCAGCCATGCCCATGTTAAGTACTGCTCCTTTCACAATATGAAAAACAGGCTGAAAAATCCAGGTATAAAGAATAATAATAATAAGGTAATGTATCTTCTGTCACAACCTTTTGTGACCATCTAATTCTTCCTAAATAATGTTCTCTTATTTCAAAGGATGACTCCATACGCCCCCCCCCACCCTGGACTGTACTAACCATAAAGAATAATAATGCAATATATCTTCATCTATTTTCTGGACTGTACTAACAGTAAGATGACGCTCTGGAGGCCTAGTGGTAAAGTGAAAAACTAGACTGTCATCCCAAAGACACAGGGTTCAAATTCACCAGCTGCTGTGTGGGAAAAGGATGGACAATCTTCTTTTTTGTAATTTACTGCCTCTGGCATTGGAGGATCAGCTGTGGGTTGGTTATGACTTGATGATACAGAGCAACAACAGTAAGAAGAGTACCTAAGAAAGTTCTATAAACTTCTCAGCTGGAATAAAACAGTTATAGATAAACCTCATCTACTTTATAGGAATCCAGTATGAAGCCAAGATGATGTGCCGAGACATTTTGTTTTTACCTTCAAAACCAGAGTTCAGGAGGTGTTCTCCCAGGTCACAACCAAACACCCTCTCTTTCAAGATTCCTCGCTGCTTCAATTTCTGTTTCGTTGGACGAGACTTCATGAATGTGCGTAAGAAAGTAATGAGCTTGCCGTGCTTCTTAGACACTAGAGAAACAAAAACAAAACACAACAACAAAAACTAATAAAGACAAAAATATCTTAATTGGAACAGCAAGTTACATTTTAAAATTAAAGAAATTATTGTATCGCTAGGATGATTATAAAACTCTTGGTACAAACACTTTATATTCTGAAAGAACTTAACATTGGAAGTTCAGGTAACACTGGTTTTATAAAGTATCAAAATTCAATATTTTCTTTTTACTAGCTTATGATTTTACCTGATGAGATTTTAAATACATTTAAATGTCATAATCAGTGACTTTTAAAATGAAGTTTGATCTAAGAATATAATATCACTATAGGTATAGCTTTACTATTATTTATTTCTTTTGAAGTCTTCAAAATAAGTAAGATAAAATAGTGAAAGGGTAGTTTGTATTTTGAGTCCACTTCTAAATGAGTTCTTAGTCTGAACTAAATGAGTGGCTTAGTCTGAAGGGAGATGCCCTGTTAATCCAAAGAACACGCCTCCCTGGTGGCTCAAATCCACCAATGACTCTGTAAGAGAAAGACGAGCCATCTCCTTCTGTGTGATGACAAAGAAAGAATATAAAAAACTCTATTTGCATCACATATTGCAATTCCATAAGTATAGCTAAAAATAGAAACAATTTCCTATCAGTTTACAGATCTTCTGTTAACATTTATCTAGAGTATTAAAAATATATAAAAAGGGGTAATTTATAAATAAGTATATAATAAGAATATTTCCACTATTCAATTGTTCAAGCCAAGTCTCTGCCTTCAAGTTAGAAGTAACTCATCACCGACTCTAGCTGATTGCTAGCTGTACATCACAGAGGAGGGGACTCCTCGCCTTTCTTCCTTGGAGCCACTGGTGGTCTTTGGTAATGCACAGCCCTTTCTGGACAATGTCACTGAGGTCAATCAATATGTCAGAGAGATAACAAGGAAAGAACGTAAGAGACAAATGCAGAGAGAAGGGCCTTTTGCTAAAAGTTCAGCCTATTATGACAATTTAAAATCAACAATATCATGAGCTCAGAAAGAGTTGCAGAGTACTAAGCTATGTGGCTTTAACCTTCTGGTGTTTGCAGATGTTACTGGGAGTGTTACTGAATCCTACTTCAAATTCCAATGCTTCTCTGAGCTTATGGCACTTACTGAGAGGACTCTGGATGCCGAGGGTAAAGTATGGACTGAGATGGGTCTTCAGGAGGATGCAGGACTAGAGGAGGCATATGGGCTCTGTTATTTTCCATTTTATAGTAAATAATATTTGCAGACACAGAATATTTTTGGTGAGGACTAAGTGATTATATTAGGGTGTGCAACCATTCTCATCTGCCCATGTCCGAGACAAGAAACTTCTAGAGTAGTAACCAAGAAAGTCTCTGAGCAACCAAGATGAGATGGCCACTCTAGAAAGTACACAAAGGGGATAAGGGGCATATTTTCTCTATCAATTGTTTAAATTTTGGGTAGAATTATCAATCTATTTTTGATGATACTTGAGGCATGCTCTAAATCTGGTAAAATTATAGCATCATTTTGAGTTTCTTTACTTTAAAATCTTCACTGCCTTCCCATGTCTTTGTAAATATATGTGATTGCTAAGGAGAAATTGATATACTTGGATCTGCTCAGAAGTGTGTGATACATGTTGTCACCATATTGTTTTTTTTTTAAATTAAGCTATCAGTTATAGTACCTTCTAGTTTATGTATTAGGAATTTTGGGTAAGGAGTGGTCATTAAACTGGCCGTGTTTAATCTCACCTGTTTTCACATGAAACTAAATCAACTTTCTTTTTAACCAAATTGTTTTTAAAAAATTAGTTTTACCTACAACAATTTGTTGTTGTTGGTGCATGTCAAGTTGCGTGTAACTCATAGCAACCCTATGTACAACAACTCTGAACTCTGCTCCATTTTGAGCCAAACTTACTGTCCCTGACTGACACACCTGCCCTAATTACTCCAGTTACTGAGTCAACTGAGGGTCAATCCAGGGTCCTTCTGTCTTGTGCTGTCCCTCCACCCTTCCAAACATGATGTCCATCTCCAAGGATTGGTCCTTCCTTGCAACATGTCCAAAGTATGTCAGACAAAGCTTCAAAATAAATAAATACATTGAAAAAAATCCTTGCCTCCAAGGAAGAGCCTGGTTTCATCTTCTCCATGATGAACCTGTTTGTTCTCCTAGCAGTATATGGTATATTCAATACTCTTCTCCAGCACCACAGCTCACAGCCATCAATTATTCTTCTATTATCCTTAGTTATTTTTCAGCTTTCTGATGCAAAGAAGACCATGGCCTGGATGAAGTGCACCTTAGTCTCTAGACTGACATCTTCAGAACTCTAGAGAGATCCCCGACAGCAGATTTTCCCAGTGTAAATTCATCTTTTGACTTCCTGACTGCTGGTACTAAGAATGTTGATTGTGGAGCCAAGCAAGCTGCCTATCAAGATGCTGCAAATTGATCCAGTGGTGAGAATCTTTGTTTTCTCTAGCATTACACAATAAATTAGAATTTTAACTTCTATACTATCAGAAAAATGCTCCAGTGGCTTAGTAGGTAAGGAACTGGACTGTCACCCTAAAGTCAGGTGGTTCAAATTCATTAGCTGCTCCAAAGGAAACAGATAAGCAGTCTTTCCCAGTGTGATTTACAGCCTCTGAAAACCCGTTAGAAGATCAGCTATGAGTTAGTTCCAACATGACAGCAATGAGAGAACAAATAAGTGAAATTATTTCCACTTGGCAACAAGGTATGTCCTTTTTAGAAAAAGGTGTATTTTTTGAAATTTTTTATTCCACGTAGTAAAATTTTCACATTTTCTTTACTAAAGGATACATTCTAGGTATCTTTTGTTAGGGTTATTACTAGGAATAGTAACTTTCTTTTGTTGCTGCTATTGAAGAAAAATACCTGTTATGCTTTAATTTGCCATACTGGCGTGTTGTTGTTGATCTTGTTAAGTGCCACTGAGTCACAGATGACTCATAGTGACACTATGAATGAAAGACCTGAACACTTGTATGACTTTCATCATTTCTTCACATTCATAGAGTTTCCGGAGGCAAGCTATTTTGGACTTGGATGCCACTCTTGTTTCCAAGCATGTTTTTAATCAGGGAGCTCCACCAAACACTGTCCACAATGCGTAAACATTATTGTATTTGACACATCAGTGACAGTGTTTAGCATCACAGCAACCACAAGTTATCTTTATACAGCAAATGGACAGACCAGTGTTATACCACTTAGAATATAATGTATGACCAAAGACATACTGTATCAATTTCATTGAAAAAAAAAACATGCTGAAATGTCTTCAAATATTTTTTACAAACTGTTGCATACTTTGCAATGAAATTTTAATGACATAGGGATATAAAAAGGTTAAAAATTATACTCTAGAGTTAGAGGACTCTAATGAGCACAAATTAACTGCAAATAAACTTAGGATTCTGTACTTGTTACTTCCTCTGCCTGAAATGGTTCTTGCAAAAACTCTGTATGGATAATTCATCCCTGCATTTTCAGTTTTAGCTCAAATGGCACTTCCTCTGTAAGGGTTCACTGATAGCTCTCTTTAAAGCAGGCTCACTTCCATCCTGCCTTGCCTTCTCTCAATGATTCCATACTTCTACTGCTCTCTCTGATTAGCTTACTTGCTTCTGTACTTGTTTACTACATATCTATATCCCCACAGCAGTGTAAATATTGAAACAGGGAAGTCACTGCCAGTGCTGGGATCACTATCTGACACGCAAAAAAACACTGAATGAACATTTTTTTCTCTTCTATTTAGAATATAATCATATCAAACCAAATATAGTTAATTCTATCACATTTTCTGAAATAAGTTCTTTCCATTTACTGTTTGAAATATTAGTAATTGGTTAGAAATCTGAAGACAAATGTTAACATCAGACAAGTACATTTTGATGCTGAATTTAATGAAAATATCTCTTGAACTTGAAAACTGCATATGAACTTGATTACTGTTATATTAATTATTGTGCTACTGCTGCCATTGTGTGTTACTGAGTTGGAAACAACTCATAGTTGAACCTACAGAGGGTTTTCAGAGGCAGAAAATCACACAGGAAAAGACTGTCCATCTTTCTCCTACAAAATATCTGGTGGATTTGAACTGTGTGCCTTGCAATGACAGTGCAGCTTCTCTCCACTACGTCACCAGAGCTAAGAAAGTATTTTCTCTCAAGTTTTTCAAGATATTTGAAATGAAATGTGAAGTATAAGTATTATCAATTTAGGAACAAGTTAATTAAAAGCAACTGTATATCAGCTGTTGTTGTTGTGTGCCATCAAGTTAGAACCGACCCATTGCTGACCCTCCAATGGGTTTTCGGAGGCAGTCTAATTGCATGACAGAAGACTACTCATCTTTCTCTTCTAGAGGAGCTGGTGCATAAAAACTGTGTGGAGGCAAAGGAATAGGACAAGCTGCTTGCTGTAACAGAGCACAAACACAATAAATAATGAAGTAATAATGTTGTTGTTATGTGCCGTTGAGTCGCTTGCGACTCAGAGACCCTATGTACAACAGCCCTAAACTCTGCTCTGTCCTGTGCCAATCGCACTGTCCTGACACTCCCATCCCAATTATCCCAGTCACTGAATCAATCCACCTCATAGAGGGCCTTCCTCTCCTGCGCTGCCCCTCCACCCTCCCAAGTATGATGTCCTTCTCCAAGGACCGGTCTCTCCTCAAAACATGTCCGAAATATGTTAGATGGAGCCTCAGAATCCTTGCCTCCAAGGAGCCA